ATGTTGTTATTGTTGTTGATGTTGTTGTTGATGTTATTGTTGTTGTTGTTGTTGATGATGTTGTCTGAAGTACTTTGATCATCCGTGTCACTGCTGTCATAATCGTGGATGATGTTGTCACCGTCAGAATTATAAAGGCCGTTTAGAATATTGCTTGCTGAGTTGTTGTTGTTGTTGTTGATGATGTTGATGTTGTTGATGTTGATGTTGTTGTTGTTGTTGTTGTTGTCATTAATGACGTCATCGTTATTGACATCGGCGTTTCCATATTTTAAATACTTGATGTCATCTCTACTAAAAACTTTGTCGCTATAACCATCCAGATATAAAAATGGATTGTTCTCTTCGTAATTTTTGTCCTCACAGTAGCTATTAACTTTATCATTACCATCACTAATATCATCATCATCATTACCATCATCGACGAAATCATTATCAATACCATTTTCGCCATTTTTTTGACCGCCAATCCAGTTTTTACCCCATTTTTTCCTCCACCATCTCAATTTTTTCCATCCGCCAATCAAATTTCCCTTTCCTCTTCCGGTCTCTGTTGATTGGTTGATTTCAATCTTGAAGTCCTCGCTCTGCCTGTCCCAAACAAGAGTGTGGTCTTCTGTGGTCAAGGTCAGTCTGTTGTTTACCGGTTGGTTATTAAATTCACTATAAAACACTTATCGAATTAGTTTGTAGATGATTAATAAATTAATTTTGAAATCTTATAATAATCATTTTTAAACAGAAATCGCTCTCCATTACAATCCTGTTATGTTTATTTTTCTCTAATAATTTCCAGTTTAATAGCTTAGTGATTGCATTAGTAGCTAGTGTTCCATAAATTTGATACTAAGATGATGTAAATATTGCTAGTATATCCATTCTTTTTAAATAAACTCTAGCTCAACTGAGAGATAGCTGTTATCATTATAAATAATGTTTAGTTTTTTTTTTTATGACCATATAACGACTAATTCTAGAATTAATTCTGCAGCTAAGTTGCGTACATAAAAAGATTTTTTAACTGGTAAGACTGATAAGACATAATCACTACAATCTTTTTAAATAATATTCGTACCTGATTCTATCTAAGTGCCTCTGCCTTTGTATTTCTTCTAGTAAAAAACTTAAACGAGTAGAGAGCTGGTCACTCTTAAATAAATTTGACCTTTCGAAGAGTGCCTAACCTTCCTCCGTAGAATAATTTAACAGTTTTTTTTCTATTAAATTCAGAAATTGCATTGGCATTTAAAAACAATTTAGCCGGAGGGAGAAATTTTCTAAGAGAAATTTGATGAATTTTAAGGAAATGGTTTTTATAAACATGTTTGAAATAGGCATTGCCGGGGAGCTGAGCAAATTTTATACAATTGATTCAATTTTTTTTTATTTTTGTTTAGTTTATCAAACTTCTTCAATGATAGCGTTTTTTTGAAATTGTATTTACTTTTTATGATATGATACATTTTGACTACAGCTCCACTTTATTTTCTACAAATTGAAATGAAAAATTTAATTTAAATGAATTGGAAATTAAAATTAAACTCATAAACTAACATTTAATCAACGAAAATATGGAAAAATAATTAAAAAAATTGTTAAAATAACAAAATAAAAACCGTTTTGGGCTGTTGGGGTCGGTGGATATGGTGACGTAACCTTTTTTGGTAGGGCTATTGCTTGAAGGTGTAGTTTGTATGACCTTGACACATCCATGACTCGTAATGTTGAGAATAGTGTTTGGCGTTGATGTTGTGATTGTTGTTGTCGTGTATGTGTTTGTTGTAATCGTTTGAGGTGTGCGTGTTGCTGTCGTGTTTGTAGTTGTCTGTGGTGTGTGGCTTGTAGTGGGTGTAGCATTTTGTGGTGTGTGGCTTGTAGTGTGTGTAGCATTTTGTGGTGCGTGTGCTGCTGCTTTGGTGGCTTGTGGCGTGTATGTTGTCGTGTATGTTGTTGT